CCTCTCCCCGAGCAGCAGCAGCAGGAGCTCACGTTATTTGGGATGAGCTTTTCTTGCTCTGATTTGCAGATTGTGGTTTCTGCCCAACGCGAACCTGCTGCAGGGGCCCCGATGCCAGTTTTGCTCTTGAGGAGGTGTTGGCCGTGCCCCTGCTGGAGAAGGACCAACCTCCCACCCTGAGCCCTGTCCAGCTTCGCTCCGGGTTTCAGCCACGTTGAGACAGAGGCCGTGTTGTTCCTGGGATGCCCGTCCATTCCCAGCTCCCAGATCAGCTTCCCCCTCTCCAGGCGGGCTCAGCCCCACACCTGGGTCTGGCAGGGTCCTGCTGCAACCTCCTGGGAAAAGCCCATGGGAAGTCAGCCCCTGGCAATCCCCGCAGTGCTTCCTGGCTCCGTGCTGCCTTTTGCAGGAGCCTATGTCACATACTCAGCTAGTGTATGCCCTCAGCATGCCTCTTGCTCCCTCCTCATCCTCACTAACAGACTGTGCTGTTCAGGAGGGTGCTTCATTTCCTGCTGGGGGGTTGCTCCCCAGCCCGTGCCTAGTGCCTGCTCCTGCCCAAAGGAGTTACCTCGAATTCCAAGAGCAGCTGTGCTGTGATTTGTTTCTCCTTAAACTCCCTTCACTTCAGCGCACATTTCCTCTCCTTCCCTTCCAGCTGCTGAGGTGTGAGCAGGGAGTAATCACTTGCTGAGTGCTCCAGGGGCGGGGGAACAGCTCCTTGCTTTCCTGGAAGGGCGAGAGGTTTTCAAGGTCCTTGGAGCACAGGTGATGGATGCTGAGGAAACTGAGTGCTCTGGAATGAGGCCATTGCTTTTATTCTGGTTACAAGCCCCATCTGGGTCTTACCAATTGCGTATTGCTTTATGTAATTCCTAAGCTAGCCTAATGCTGGGTGCAAAGGCTGGCAGCAGGGTATGTGCTACCTGTCCGTATGTGAGGCTGCAAGGAAGTGCAAGATGAAGGTTAATGTTCAAGGACTGCTCCAAATACGTGTGACAGTGAGGTGGGAAGCGTGGGAATGCTTCCCACAGTGTGGTGGGGCTAGGGTAGGTCCTGTGATGCCAGGGGCTGACTGGGTTTGGGGAGAGGCTGTTCTGGCTGCTGGAAGCCAGTTTCTCTTTTGCAAGGCATAAAGGTTACCCTGCAGCATCCTTGGAGGCAGCATAACACGCTGAAGGAGCCCTGACAGTGGCCTGGGCTGTGCTGGGCACAGAGCTGAGGAATGCAGGTACCTCTCCTCCCCTTCCTGCCTGTGTTGGAGTTTGGGGCGGGTTCCCACATGCAGTTTGGGATGTACATCAGAGAAAAGGGAAGCCTCAGTAGAGACCCTCTTGGCCTGCTCACTGCTCAGCACCTGCTGTAGTTAGTTACTAGCCCTTGCAGGTTGGGGTCACTTGTGTATTTGGATGGCAAGTGCTTTAGGATGGAGAGATGGAAGATGGAACACCTCCTGTTGCAGCTGTGGGTCCTTGCAGCTGGTCTGTAGGACAAGAGGCTGTACTGGCCCCCAGCTCGCTCCTCTGCCTGCTCCCCATGGCCAGTGTTAGATCAGGGATTGTTCAGTGCTGTTGTTAAAAGCAGGTTCTCAGGGCTGCAGAGGTCAGTGTATATGGGCAGTGAAGCTTCCCACCTTACACAAACTCCCCTCGCACATATGTATGGAAGGTACTCAATAACTACATTGTTCATAGCAGTTTTTCCTGGGACCCTGTGCCCTTTGGTCAGGGTTTTTATGCAACAGTTCTGTGTTTGCCCTCCAAGGTGAGGCTTTTGAAGCCCTGCAGCGGTTGTGGAGATAAACCCCTGGTTTCCAGGGTGGCATCAAGCTGTCCGTAGCCCATCACACCACTTTCCTCTGCCGGTGGCCACTGGGCACTTCTTCATTTCACCAGGCAGCAGCAGAGGTCCCTGCAGAGCGTGGCCCAGTTCACTAAACCTGCCCCTGCCTCGGCAGCATCCTTCCTCCAGCTCTTGGGCTCCCCTCGAGCAATCTCCCTTTGCCTGCTGCCAACAGGGATGGCTGAACTCTGGCCTACGAGGAATGCAAACCAGCACCTGAAATACAGGATGTATTGTAGGACATTGAGATGTGCAGGAGATGGCTTGAAACATGACTGTCCTTGCCTGTCAAACCCCAACTCCTTACCCAGGGGAGGAATCGTTGAGGGCTGGTTGTGTGAAGCCAGAGATGCACCAAGCACTGGTGCCTGGCAGCAGCGTGTGGCACCACCACCACCCATCACTGCACCATGGAGGGGTGTTGACAAGTGGATGTGAAGCCAGAAGAGCTTGTTCTGCGACAGGTGAGGCCGGTGGTTTGCTCCTCATGAAAGAGAGCTGGAGCTTGGATCAGGCTCTGAAATTCCCAGCCTCAACATGAGGTGGTGCAAAGCATCCACTTCCCATCGGTGAGAGCACAGCTCCCTTTGCAGCAGCAAGGAGGAACCAAGCGCTTCTGGGGAAGAACTGGAGATAAAGGATGTGCTAATGAAAGCTGGGAGAATGAAGTCATCAAATGTAAAATGAAAAGAGATTCTTCATGGGGAATTCATCCATCCCCACTCGTCCATCACCACAGCTGCCCGCCTGCTTTGTGGAAGCACTGGGGAGGGGGATTCACAAGTTAAAAGGGTTTTATTCCCCCTGTTTGCTTTCCACTGTAAGAGCAAATTTTAGAGGGGGAATCCTGCTTCATAACCCTGTGTTATTTATTCACCAGGCATCCCAGGCACGCGGAACAACTCGCGTGTCCCCATTCCTCATCCGTGAAGTGCGAACACTGATGCGTACCAGCCTTGGGCAGCAGGAGCAGCAGCGTCCCGAAGCTGCGTGGTAGAACACCCAGGCAGCCCCTGCTGGGAGCACACACGTCCTCCTGGAAGGGCTGCTGAGCACTTGCCACTCCAACACGAGCTGGTGGGAAGATGGAGCTGTTCTCCCCACCCCTGAGAACCTGACTCACTCTGGAGTGGTGAGCACATATATTAGCGCAGAGAGCTCTCCCTCCTGCTGCCCTGCCTGCTCAATTAAAGCACCACCAGAACCTGATCCCTCCGTGTTTTGAACACACGCAGTACGCATCACCACTGTAATTGTAAATATTTGCCCAAGGTCACCTCTGACACCTCCAGCTTTTAACACAGAGGTTCAATAATCTCAGCACTCATCAGGCTGTGGGAGGGGCTGTTGTCTGCTGCTGATCTCCTGGGAAAGCTGGGGACTTCAAAAATAAATAAATAAATAAATATATATACACACTCTGTCACTGAGCTGTGGTTTGGTGGATCCCAGCCTCCATGGGCCCAGCACCAGCTCTGTTCTAGGGATGGGGAGACAACCGTGCGCTCCCCTTGATGCTCTCAGTTGTAGCTGATTCCTGGAAGGCAGGGGAAGGTGCTGAGGCTGATCTGCACCGTGTAGTATCTGCAGCTGGTCCAGCCCCTGTGCTCCCCCAGACCTGCTGGCAATTTCTCCCTCTGTGTGTCACCAGAGCAGGGGTGACACCGGGGTGCTGAGCAGCTGCCACCTCTGCATGATTCTTGTTGGGGCTTATTTCTCTTTGGTGTACCAGGGGGAAGCCTGGAGGTCTCTGAGCTTGGGTCTGTTACAGTACCTGTGGTACCTGCATCCCTCGCAGTAGCTGCTCCCTGGCTGCTGCCACGGAGCCCCCAGTAACGGAGCTCTGCTGTGATCTCCAGCATCTGCCAGCTGTTGGTGGCCTCGTTCCTCCGGCAGCCTGACGTGCCATGTCTTGGGGCTGCACATCTGTGCCATGGCTCTTGCTGCTTCACCCCAGCCACCAGCGCCCGTGCTGAGCAGCCTCGAGCTGTTGCCGGCTGCCTGCTGTGATCTGAAGGCAACGCTGGCCTCGGAAAAGCAGCTTCAATTTCCTGCTGCCTGAATGAAGGAGGATGGGGCTGTATCGGGCCCTAATCGGGCCGTTTGTTCTCTTCCCATCAGTCTGCACAGATGCAGACGACAAGGACTCGTCCCAGGACAGCCATGAACTGCGTTACTTGGCCGCGACTGTGCAGGCTCCATTCTTGCTGCCAGAAAAGCAGAGATAGGATTTAATGCAGAATAAGTGGCACATATTAAATACCCACTGTCAGCTCCTTCTAGGGAAAAGGGCTTGGGATTCCTTTGCAGCGAGTGAGGTGGCAATAAGGCTGGCTGTGTGGTGTTGACCTCCACAGCTTGGTGGGGTACTGCTGTCTTCCTCCACTGAGAAGTCACAGTGGGACAGCTACCATGTGCTGTGTCTGGCTGTGAGAGTGCAACACGTGTGTGTGCACTGATGATGTTATCACAGCACAGGATAGCTGCAGGTCCCTGCTCACCAAACCCTCCTCCAGCACCTAGAAATTCTCTTCCCATCTCACCTTGAGGAGTTCGGGAGGCTTTTTCCTGGTGTTGATTTTAAAGAGATGGCTCAGTGAACCCCCTGCGCCATCTTCAAATATAAATAACCTGTGCAGCACATACCCATGTTAATAAGGAATAAACTTGCCTCCCTCTGATGTAACTGCAGTGGGTACATCCGTATGCACAAGGGCACCCCACAAACGACGTGGGTCACCCCATGGTCCTTTCAGCGTGCAGAGGGCATCATGATGGCCACTGCGAGAGGGAAAATCGCGGGTGACCAATTGGTCAGTGCAGTCTGCCCTAGTGAAAACCGGTGCGCTGGGGACCTGCCACCACCCTGGGGACCCGCTGATGCGCTGGGGACCCCCTGCCGGGCGAGGGGCCCGGTCTCGCCTCGTGCCCGCGGACACAAACCGCTCCATGTCGCATCGGCCTCCCCGCGGTCCCGGTGCGCGCAGGCGGTTACGGCTCGGCTCCGGTGCCCCCGGTCCGCGGTAACGCGAGGTGGGGGGGGGCGGACAGGGAGCGCGGTGCCTCACCTGCGGCGGGGCGGGGCGGGGCCCCTGGAGGGGCGGGACGGGACAGGGCGGGCGGGACCGAGCACGCCTGGCACCGCCTCGCTTCCCCCCCCCCCCCCCCCCCGGCGCTCCACTGCCGCTGCCGCCGCCGTCTCCTGCGTGCCTCCAAGATGCCCGGGCAGCGGCGGGGATGCTGCCGCAGCCCGTTGGTAGGTACTGGCACCGGGCAGCGCGGCGGGAGTGGGGGGGAACCGGAGGGCGGGGCCCTTCCCGGGGCTTTGCAGCAGCAAGTGGCGGGCGGGGGGGGGGGCTCCTGCCCTTCCCGGGAGCCGGTGCCCAGCGGCGGCTTCCGCCACCCCCACCCGGCGCGACCGGCGGCCCAATGCGGTCGCGAACGCGCCCCGCGGGGAGACCGGAGGGGGGGGCAGCCCCTTCCCCCCACCCTCCCCCCGTGGCGGGGGCGGCAGCCGCGAGGAGCCCCGGGCTCCCCTCTCGGGCCTTCGTCCGCTGGAAGCGCGGCTCGTCCCCGGCTGCCTGTGGGAGAGGGAAACGCCGGTCCCGCCAACCGGTTTAACGACCCGGCCCCGGTGGAGCGGGCCGCGGCTTAGCTCCCTGCGCGTTTCGGTTCCCGGTGCTGCTGGCAGAGATCGGGGAAGGGATCACACACCCCACCTCCCCCCCCCCCCCCCCCCGCCGCCCCCGGTGACAAAGTTCGGTTCAATGGAAGTTCCGGGGTAACGGAGCTTCTCGCAGGGCGAGCGCTGGGAACGGGCGAGATGTGCTCGGCCCCGGGAGGCGGCTCCGGTGGTTTACAGCTCCCGGCGCTGTGATCGCCGCCGCTTGCACCGGAGTGTGGTTTTTTGACTGTTGAGCTGTCGGAAAACGCTCCCGAGCGGCCCGCGGGAGCCGCCCTCCCTCCTCCCGTGCTGGGTCTATGTGTCTCGGCTCCAAGGCCACCTCAGCCGCGGGTTTCGGGGCTCTGCCGCGCGGCTGCGGAGGGCTGTGCCGCGGCCAAGGGCCGCGCTGCTGAGCGGGTTCGCGAGTTTCTGGGGAGGGCAAATGGCTCTTGTTGCTCCATAATTGCCTCAAGTCTGGACACGCCGGCCTGTTGATGGCTCCGGCTATGCCTGCCCTGCCTGGCTGCCGCCCAGGCTTCCGCGCGCTCCCGGCGAGCCCTGGAACCTCCACTGGGCTTTTGTTGTTGGAAGGCGGCTTCAAGGAGACCGGCTGGGCTCGAGGAGCTCTGCAGGCAGCCTGAGGCCGGCAGCCGGTGCCCGCCGGGCTCCCGGGCATAGGTCCAGCGGCGGGGTCACTGCTGGGCAGCATCCCTCAAGGCCAGGTGGTGCCAACACCTGTGAGCGTGGGGTCGAGTGGGGCCCGAGTTGCTGCTTGACCCTTATTATAAGACCAATGGTGCCCTTCCTTCCTCATCCCTGCTCCGGCGAGGCCGCTGTGTGTGGTGGCGGTGGGTCTGTGCCTGCGGGAGCCCCTTGCCTTCCGTGGGTGCCCTGAGCTCTGCGCTGTGGCCATCGCTGCTGTGTTCCGTCTGCCAGGAGCACGCTCGAAACTCCTTGCTTGACTCCTGCCCCTCACGAAGGGGGAGTAAAACAGAAGCAGGGGAGGCTGGTTGTGGCAGTCTGCTTGCCCCAGACAGTGATGTTGGAATGCTGTCATGCCCAAGGGGGGAGGGGGTATTCCCAGAGGATGCTCCTGGGAAAAGACAGTGAATGGGATAGAAAAATGAGGCGGGAGAGCTTAAGTCGGGGACAGGAGAGGTTGCATTGGCTCGGGCAGGTGGTGTTATTGCTACAGAGCCTGGGTGTGCCAAAACGCAGGCAGTTAGAGACGGGTCTGTGCCCTGTGGAGCCTTCTGCAGTGGGTGCCAGAGCTGGGTGCCAGCGGTGTGGGGTGCAGCGAGGTGCTGAGAGCTGCCTCTTTTGTAACTGGGCTTGAGAGGCAGGCATGGAGCTGCAGTGGGTGATGAATTCCCTTCCCTTGCCGAGTGCTCATGCTCCAGTAGCCTCGTTGGCACCAGCACAGCTTGGGGGGTGATGTGCTAATGAGTTGTATGTCACTGCATATATATATATGTGTTTGTGTGTATATATATATATACGTATGTGTGTGTTTGTAAGCAGGGTGGGATCATCCTAGAGACCACACGAGATAGATGACATTTTTAGAATCAGGATTGTCTCTTGATCATCTCCTCCAGTTGATGTTTCCAGACCTGCACTCGGGGTTTCGCCCTGAATCCCCTGGGCTGTGGCTCTGAACAGCTTTCTACAGTTGGTGGTTGGGGCCACTGGACCCTCTGAGGGGGAGGGTGGGGGGTTGAGCTGTTATCTCAGGTAAGCTTGTGGCTTTGGGAGTTGTCATGTCTCAGAAGCTGGTCACTGGGGGGCTGTGGCTCTCGGCTGTCCCATCAGAGCCACTGAAACCAGGACTTTCTCTGCCAGCTGCATGGCTGGTTCTTTGCACAGAGCTCATAACCGTGTGATTGTACCTCTGGAGGGAGTTACTGCTTCCCATAATGTACCCACCTTCACTGGCTTGAAACCTCCCTGAGGCAGCTTCTGCCTTCTCTGGGAGAGCTGTCAGGATGTTAGTTCGGGAGGGTTTGTGGCTGCAGAGGATGTTTCCCCTGAGCATCCTCCTCTGGAGGAACAAACAGCCCTGGGAAGGTGTGGGGTCAGGGTCTGGTCTCAGGGCCTGGTCTCCTTGCCATGGCTTCAACCTGCGCTACTTTTGCTTATTTTTAATGTTGTCCCCTGGAAAAGGGGCACATGTTGTGGCTGAACAAGCGCCTGCCTTCACCGTCAGCTCTTTCCCATGAGCAGCGCCATCCCTCCCTGCACTGGGAGGACGCGGTGGGGGAGCTGGTGGCCAGCCTCCCTCCGCCGTCTTTCCCAGTCACTCGCGGTGCTGAGCCCGAGGCACCCAGATGCCAGGGCAGGGAGGTCACGGATGTGAAGAATGGGGCATGTGTGCACTGCTGAAAGCAGCCTTGTGCGAGGCGAGGGCTGTGGCGCCGGGAGCGGCTCATCGCAGGTCAGGGGCTGCCTTCCTGTTTCCTTACACACGGAACCTCGTGCTGGCTCTTCTGGCTGGCACCAGCCTCCCATTAGCTGGGCATGGAGCAGGGTATGGTGCTGAGCCCCGAGCCGGCAGCTTGCCTCATTCTTGGTGGAGATGTGGGGCAGAACTGCAGGCACAGGGCTGCACTGGCATCCCTGGGATGTGCAGTGCTTGGTGGCTTCGGTATCTGCCCTCCCCTTGTTTCTCGCCCAAGCACAGCCGGCGGCAGAATAGCATCCTTTGTGCCCCTGGACACGCTGGCCTTTCTCAGGAAATAGCCTATTGTGCTCGCTGGCATCGCCGGGCCCCGTCATCGCCTCCTCTGGCTGCCTCCGCTCTGTCCCTGCCCACACACTGCCCAGTGGGCAGAGGAGCGGGTGCTGCGCAGTGGGACCACCGCGGGGCTGGGGCTCAGAGTGCCTGGCTGTCCCTGGCCCGCTAAGTTAACGCTCCGGGTTGCATGCTCTGCCCTATTGCTGGTGACATCCTGCCCCACGGGGCTTGGGTACCCCAGACCTGGCACCCTTGGTGGGGACCCACCTATGTGTGACCTCAGACCTCCTTGTCCTCTCCGCATGCCCCCTTTCAGCGCCATGGAGCTGGGCTGCTTTCGCACAGCTTGTCCCCACGTCACCGCCTGGCCTTGGCTTTCTCCCCGAGCAAACAGCCCTGACGTGCCAACAGTGCCGGAAGGGCCGGGGGCATCAGGGCATCCCTCTGCCGCCCCTTTGCACTGCTCTTCTCTTGCCTTTGGAGCCCTCCTCACAGCCAGGCTTAAGCTGTTGTCCCTCTCATGTCCCTGTCTCCACATTCCTCCCCCCAATGTCCCCTGTTCTGTGTGCGGGTGCTTGTAGGGGCTGTGGCTGTCCCAAGCATCCCCCAGTGTCACATCAGTGGCTGCTGTAAGAGCCGGAAGCTGAGGAGGGGATGCTGCACTGCTGCAAGCACCATTGCTTCCCCCATCACTAGGAGCACGGGAAAGCCTGATGTGCTCCAGAGCTCCAGGGCTGCTCCCTGCCTTGGCTAGGGCTGTCCGGGGATGGTCCAGGCGTGTTCAGGTTGTGCTGAACCACGGGAGCCTTTTAAACTGAAGTGGAAAACTCCTGTGGGATTCAGAGGGTGTTTCCCGATGAAAGCAGTTTGTTATTTAAAGCTGCTCTGGCTGGATTTGTCCGAGGAGGATTGTGCTTGCAGCTGCTGCAGCCTGGCCTGGGCTGGGTGTTGGCAGCCGGTTTTGTTTCCTTTTGGGCATTTCCTGCAGTATTTCCATGCTGTGGAAGGAAGAGGGTGCGGATGGGATCCGGTTCAGATGCGAGCTTCAGCCAGTGCCCTGTGGCTGAGCAGCGACAGTTGCTCTAACCAGGCAGATTGAAAGCAATGCTGGATTTGATGCTGCCGCATTTGAGAGTAGAGAGACTAACTAGAAAAGGGGATGTTGTGCGGTATGTTCTTGTTTGGTTTTGTGTTGCATGTTGCAGACTTGGGTACTGCAAGTTCTCAGGTCTCAAACCTGCATTCTGCGTGTCTCGCTATCTGGGCTATGCTTAGGAGGGAAAAGGAAAACCCGGTAGCTTGTGAGAACTCATAGGAAACCTGCTACATCAGTGGAAAGCTGAAGCCAAATCCCTGCAATTCCTTTTGCGGCCCGTGCAAGAAGCCCTCCTGCAGGCCTTTGCTAGCTTGGCACAAGAGGCTTGGCATGCTTCAGGGTGCCTGGGCTTTGCATGCCACTGCAGTGGGCTCCTCAAGCAAATGGGGCTCTGTGCAGAACATCACTCCTGTTGTTTGTAACTGGAATTCAGGTCCAAGGGGGAAGTGAATGGCTGGGTCTGTTTGTTCCTCGCTCTGTAGACGCGGGAGCCAGACCGCATCGGAGGAATGGCCTAGAAATTAGATTTCATTTTAATACACAAACCCAGTGTTGAGCTGGGTGACCAACAAGGGGAAAACCAACTTCAGGCAGCAGTCAGAGCCCTTCCTGAAGCGGGGCTTAAGCACAGCACAGTGAACGTAAGCTGGCTGAGGATCTGTATGGAGTAAAGTTGTGGACACGCATCCCTCTGAAGTGCAGCTGTGCAGCATCCTTCAGCAGCACATCAGAGAGGACGTAGAATAAATGAGCTTCCTGCTT